AGACACACATTGACACACTTGCAGATGCAGATACACACACACACACACACACTGACAAACATGCAGATATATAGACACACATGTAGATACACAGAAACAAACACTGACACACATTCAGATGCACAGACACACAGATGAAAACCCTGATACACATATTGTTGCACAGGGATACTGATACACACACTGACACAAATGTAGATACACAGATACAAACATTGACACACATACAGATACACATACTAACACATAGAGATACACACTGACAGACATACTGATGTACAGACACACAGATGCAAACACTGACACAGTTGCACAGACACACTTACACACACAGGGCAGTCTTTAATAATGTTTGGACCCTAGCCAAAAATGTGTTTGTTCCCACTAGACCTTGCCCCCTCCCACTCCTTGGCATGCAATCACACCCTCTGTCCCAACTCAGTGGCAGAACTAAAGTAGAACGCGCCCTGGTGGAAGAATTGTATTGGGCCCCCAGTTGCAAGGTTGGATAAAAGGTAGAACCCTATCTGTCATGCAACACCAACAATGCTCTACCAATGTCCCATGCTTGCAGGGTTGTATTTAGCACTTAGCCTTGTTTGTGTGTTTGAATGTAAGCATGTCTTTGTATAGAGTATGTTTGTATGAATGTGTTTGTATGTGGTGTTGGAGTTTGAATGCAAGCATGCATTTACGTGTAGTATTGTTTGTTTTTTAACGTAGGGGTGATTTATATTTCATTTTGGTGTTTAACACAGATGTGTGTTTGTATGTAGTTTTGAGGTTTCAATGCAGGAGTTTGTTTGTATGCAATGTTTGAATGGAGGGGTGTATTTGTATTTAATGTTGGTGCTCAGATGCTCAGACACACATGTACACACACTGACACACATGCAGATACACACACTGACTACTTACAGATACACACACTGACAACATACAGATACACAGACACATACAGGCACACAGACACATAACCTGACAGACATATTGACACACACAAATACATGCATTGACAGGCATACTGACACACACTGACAGACAAACTGACACACACAGATGCAAACACTGGCAGACATGCTGACACACACAGACATACAAGCTGACACACACAGTTATACTGACACATCACTCTGCCAGGCATGGTAACAAACACACAGATCTACACACAGACAGACATACTGACACACACACAGACAGACAAACAAACACACAGAGACAGATATACTGCCACACAGACAGATATACAGACACACACAGACATAAAAACACACACAGACAGATATAAAGACACACATACAGACAGATTTACTGACACACACACAGACATACATACAGGCACACACACACAGACAGTTATACCGACACACCCAGACAGTTATACTGACACACACATAGACAGACATGCATAATGACGCACACACAGACAGATATACTGAAACAAACAGACACACACCACATACAGGTGTACTGACACACACACAGATAGACATAATGACACATGTAAAATTAAAATATTTAAACTCACCCTCCAGTTTTCTACCTTTTGCTGGAGGGTGGCTTGCCTGGGGTCCAGTGTAGTGCCTGAGGCTGATGGGAGTGAGGAGCTCCCCTCCCACGTGACTCCTTTGGCCCCCTCCTGCGCAGCTCCTCTTTTTATGGGAAGAAGTGACACATGACCGTTACTTCCTCCCATGCTGCCGAAACCGAAAAGCAAGGGGCCTGGTTGCACTGTTAAAGATCCACAGCGCCCCTGCCCTCCTTCCCCTCACTGCTGTTATAAGCCCACCGGGTGGTCGTAAGTGCATGGCCCACCCAGTAGGACTCCTTAGAGTGTGGGAAAAAAAAATTGTTAAGGGCAGCGGGGACCACGGTGCGGCTGCCTTGGGCCCAAGGAGCAACTGGGTCCTATTTTGTTTTGGCCGCATTACCCGCACTGGATACAAGAACTGATATATATGTGTGTACATGCAGATACACAGATACAAACACTGACACACATACAGATATGTAGCCCCAAGAAGAAAGCGCATCTTAGCAGAGGGGGCCTTGACAGGGCTTGGAGGTGGGCTTAGGTGGAGCAGGGGTTGGTGATTGACAGATCAGGATTCTGGGTAGGCTGATATAAATGTCAGCCATTTTATAACACCTCATTACTAATTGATTTACCAGGCTGAATTGGTCCCTCCCTCCCTTTAGTGTTGGGTTTTATTCTTCCCGTTTGGTCACAGCAGCGGGCTAGTGGAAGGAAAGTTAAGGGGGTAACGGGCCTGCTTAAGGAAGAGTAGAGCAAGAGTAGTGAGTTGGCTGTTTCAATATGGACTGGTTACCTGTTGGTAAGATGTTGGTGGTTTCGAGCTCGGTGGTAGCTCAGAACCCAGGTGGTGTAGGGGTATCAAGGTATACCCCTGCCAGGATCGGGTGGAAAATGTTGGATCTTGTTTTGTTATACTTATGGATTATTATATATGTTATGTTATGTTATATATGATGGGTCATTGCCTTGCGAATTGATATGTGGAAAAATGATAATGATGGATGGCTGAGGATGTGGGGGTGGGCAATGACTTTTATGTTATTTATATATTATTGTTATTATTATTATTATTATTATTATTTATTATGAATAAAAGCTGTGGACATATTGACCCATACCCTAAAGTGTCAGTGTTTCATTGGTGTGGGTTGGGAAAAAGGTAATGGTCAGTTCCTCCAGTCTATATGGCGACAATGCGCCTGTCATGCAGATACACAGACACACATATGCAAACACCGACAAGAGCTCAGTCATATGGGGGCAGAATTATGTCAGTGTAGGTTAAGTGGCAAGTGGAGATTATGTAAGTGGAGGTGGGTTTGAATCGTCATGGAGGCGGAGTTGGGATGTTGTGGGAAGCTGGGGCAGTCACTATAAACTCTCTGCTCCTCCCTCCCATGATTACAATGGGTCAGGTCGCACTGTTAAAGCGCCGTAGCGCACTACCAGGCCCCTCGTGGCACAAGTCTATCAGGTGGCCCTAAGATCATGGGCTACATGATGGACTTTCAACCTGTTCCTAGCCTTTGCAGTGTGGTTGCACCGCCACCATCAACTTTTTTTTTTTTTTTTCGCTTACTCCCGGGGGCACTGGATTGTACCCGTGGGTTAGTAGAATTATATCAATTGTCTATCGATCAAGAGCTTTCTTTTTAACATACAACTGGCTTTAGTGGGACTCATAATTAGTGTAGGACCCACTAACATCGTGACGTAGTGGTGGGCTTAACACAATATGGCCATATGGTGTAATTGAATTCTTATATTTGTTTGTTAAGGTAGCTGATTTTAATTAAAGGACCCCTCTAGGTACCCAGACCACTTCAGCTTAATGAAGTGGTCTGGGTGCCTGGTCCAGCTAGGGTTAACCCATTTTTTCATAAACATAGCAGTTTCAGAGAAACTGCTATGTTTGTGAATGGGTTAAGCCTTCCCCTATTTCCTCTAGTGGCTGTGTCATTGACAGCCACTAGAGGCGCTTGCGTGCTTCTCACTGTGAAAATCACAGTGAGAGCACGCCAGCGTCCATAGGAAAGCATTATGAATGCTTTCCTATGTGACCGGCTGAATGAGCGCGCAGCTCTTGCCGCGCGTGCGCATTCAGCCGACGGGGAGGAGAGAAGGAGGATCGGAGGAGGAGAGCTCCCCGCCCAGCGCTGGAAAAAGGTAGGTTTTAACCCCTTTCCCCCTTCCAGAGCCGGGCGGGAGGGAGTCCCTGAGGGTGGGGGCACCCTCAGGGCACTATAGTGCCAGGAAAACGAGTATGTTTTCCTGGCACTATAGTGGTCCTTTAACCTTTAAATAACATTAACTAAGATTGAAAACTATTTTTTGTATGTGCGCTGTTCCTTAATCGGTATTAGAGGGAGCTTTCCACAGAAGGAGTGTGCTGCAGCAGGTAATAACCTGGATTTGTGAGATGACGTGTATCAGAGTTGTTAATGGAAAGGATTAGAAGAGAAGTATCATGCTGTATGAAATATCTGAAATTTAGATACTGTATTTATATAAGACCCCATGAGATAGGTTCTGTTATTCTCAATCGTTCTGGTTTTCAAGTATATGGGAATGATAGACCATCACCCCTTCAGTCCAGTTGGAGAGAAATAGGTAACGCATGATTGTGAGTGTGTGTTGATAGTGTACTGATCTAGATCAATTAGCGGTGGGTACCTCGTAAATAAGGTGTATTGGTGGTGTGGAATAGAGGTTGTGTGATTATATTTATAGAAAGTGGATTTTTTTCCAGAAAAATATCCTGTACACATTTCATAAGAAAACACAAAACAAAATAAAACCAACTAGAAAAGTTGTACAGTGTCCACAAGAAATGACCCACTGTAACCACTAAAGTGAGATGTAGTGGTTATGGTGCTTGGAATGTTCCTTTAACCCTTTGCGGTCCAATATATTTTCACTAAGTGCGCCAGCAGGTCTCGTTTTTTTTTTTTTAATTGAACAATTCACACCTAAATCAGAGATCGCATTGCACATGCACACAGCGTCCTTCAATCTCTCGGGGGAAGTCATCGCCACCTATGCGTGCGTTCCCCTGCCAGGACCTCCCACCAAGATAGAGGGTCTGCAGTACTCTCCAGGGAAAATCATTGGACCCCAAGTGGTGAAATATTTTGTCGGGTATATTCAGACATAGGACTGCAAAGCGGTAAAACTCATCTGCAGAAAATGTTGGTTTGGTGAGAACACAAAGTGTAAAATCTAAAGATCCAAGGTTAGTCCGCACACCTGACTTATTTATCTGCTATGTCACGGAAAGACAAAAGAGCAGAAAAATATTCAAAAGATGAAAAAAATGTGGACAGGCCGGTTATTCTTTGAGGTTTTATTTATACTTAACCCACGGACCCAGGGCTCTAAAACGGCTAATAATGATGTCACCATTTCGTTAAGTCAACACCACAAGCAGGTATCAAATATTCTGCGTTCACATAACCTTCCCCAGTCTGCTCAGGAAGATGAAGGTGTTGACTATCACCGCGCTCTTAGCCTGCGTACTCGGCTTTGGTAAGGACAAGGTTTGGGATGGAAGCTGGGATTGGAATACAAGCTACATGCTTTATAAATGAAATATTCCAATATTGTTTTATTTTCTACCGAATAAGATTATTACATATATTAGCTTTTTCTCTCGTCTGGCACAAAATACAGAGAGATTGGTCCACTATAACTACTTTGTCTAATGGCAGTTTTTCATAACAATATTGGTTAAAATGTTTAACTGCATATAATTTAAATATAATCTATATAAATGGAATCTATCGTCCTATATAGAAATAAGCTATTTATCTAGATGAAAATAATAAGTAATGTTTTTATTAAATTGTCTATCATTTCACCATACAGAATTTGATCTCTGAACTGTATCAAGTTGTGTGAAATTCTGCTTGTGCTGGGTGGGTGGGTGCTTGGTGGGGGGGTGGGTGAGTGCTGAGTGGGTGCTTGGTGGGGGGTTGTTGGGTTTGTTCAAATACAAATTTCAGGTCAGAGTAGTCAAACTGGCAGCATCTCTGACATGGTGTGGTGTGCCTCTCCATAGTGGAAGCACTATGCTTAAGCCTGCTTAAACCTGCAGGAGCGATACCACCTGCAGTGACTCTTGTTGAAGAGGCTGCACACACCTTTTTTATTTTCCTGCCGACATACCGGTTAGTATGCTGCCCCAGAAAAAGGGAGATGGGCGACACTGAATACCAAATTCCATCCCCGGGCAAGCCACCATGTTTAGGTGGAATTGCTGGCTGTACCAAAACCAGCATTGCCCACCAAAAATGTTGTACTCCCCCCCCCCCCAGATCATGTTCAAATACCCAAAAAGAGAGAGAGCAGAGCCCTCTCCGGAAACTGACAAACCAAGATGCATCATCAATTATAACAATGATTTTGACATGTTTTTATCAAACGTTATGAAAATTATAGGAAAAAAAAAAATTGGTCAGAAAAGTCAAGTTAGAAAAATTGGAAAAGTCAGCTATGATTTCAATTTGGCGTATTTTGCCCTGAAATGTTAAAGTCACTTTGAATTGTCAACAATTCACGCTTTTTTTGAAAAACCCTGCTAGTGTTTTATACAGTGTATTACAATTATAATACATTGTGTGTTCCTTGTATTTCTGTTGTTAAATATTTTCGTAAATGAACTATTGATTAAATAGTACAATAGTAAAAAGCACAACATTAAAGGGACTCAATGTTACTAAAATAACTTTAGCTTAATGAAGCAGTTTTGGTGTATGGATCATACTCCTGCAATCTCACTGCTCAATTGTCTGCCATTTAGGAGTTAAATCACTTCTGTTTTTGCAGCTCTAGCCAAACTTCCCCTGACTGTGACACACACAGACTCAATGAAAATAAAATGATTTCATTTTCAATCAGAATTTAATTTTTATTTCCTTCTCTGTAAATTGAACATTAATTACACACAGGAGGCTCCTGCAGGATCTAGCAAGCTATTAACAGAGCAGGAGATAGGAAATTCTAAATTAAACAGAATAAAGGAAATGTAAACATTAGATGACTCTTTACAGGAAGTGTTTAGGAGGGCTGTGCAAGTTACATACAGGGAGGTGTGACTATGGCAGCATAAACAAAGTGATTTAACTCCTAAATGGCAGAAAGTTAAGCAGTGAGACAGCACGGGCATGATCTATACACCAAAACTGTTTCATTACACTAAAGTTGTTTTGGTGACTATAGTGATCCTTTAAAATGAGCTCATTTCAGCTGTATAGGAAAAGTTATGATTATGACGGTTACTTCTCAGCCAACTCATGATGTTTTTTCTTCATCCTCCAGGACAAGCCTATCAATGTTACACGTGCAATATGGCTACTAATGATGCAGAATGTATGCAAGTCACCAACTGCTCGTCCCCAACTCCCTACTGTGGGTCCGTAGTTGGTATGTTGCTTAAAAAACAGAAAACTAATAATTAGCCCACTTGTATTTTAATTGTTTCTCATGTTTTAGAGCTGTGATATTTATCAACATGTCAGATTATTCTGTAAAACTAATATGGGAAAATGCAGACTTTGTACCATACATCGACAACTTTTATTCCATGTGATCTGCTGCGGGCTCTGTTCCCCTTAGCATAGACTAGACTTTTAAAGGTGCCTCCCCTGAAGCCCATCAGTGTATTATTATTATTAGAATTGCTTCTGTTCATGTTGCTACCAGGGCACAAGTTATATCATATCCTTATGTTCTTTAGTCATTCACTCTAAGCACTGTGATATTTTCAACTTTACTATTGCTACTCAAAAATGTGCAGCTGTTTATGTTTTTTTGTTTGTTTTTTATTTATCAAAAGGGTAATACAGAAGAGAAAAAGCATATTGTACTGTAACAATGTTATGGAGCACAGACATGTGACACGAATATGAATAACCAATAAGACCACCATTAAATTCTGTACTGTCAATAGTCAGGGTTTTGTAAAACAACCAATAAACACGTACAATACACTCAGACACTCCCACACAAACTCCTCCCCTCTGCCTGTGATACAATTACCTTACACAATGGGTTAATGTAATTATCACAGGCAGAGAAATACAGTTTTTCCACATTATTCATAGCTTTAAAAGTATACATCACATAAAACTTACATTTTCAGAATCAGCATACTCCAAATACAAACATATGTCAAAATCATCCAAATTGGTCCAGTGGTTCAAAAGATAGATCGAAGTCCTTTGTGACCAAATGAAGGATGGCTTTTCTGCCCAAAACCAGTTCCACAGAGTCTTCTGTAATCCAATTATCTCCAAGGAAAGAGGCAAAACTCCATTGAACACATGGTAGCAAAAGACAATAAAATACATAAAAATATATAACTGTGCAGCTATTGCATAAAACAGGTACATTCAACATATCACCAGATAGCTCAGATCTGAGCGCACATTATTACTGAATGGTGCTCAGATCACATACATACAGTTCAATTGCCATGGAGCCAAAGTCTTTCACATAGTCTTTCGTTATACAAATGGGATCTATGGCATAGCTATCTGGGGTATATTCAAATAGGGCAAGCACCGAATGACCCAGCTTTCGTGTCTTTGCAGGGGAAAATCAAGCGTTTCAACATGGGGCCATAGTCTAAAGGCAGTAGGCGGGCAACCAGGCTCCTCCAATGCACAGTGGCGAGATTGGTTTTGTCACATCTCTCCCCTTTTCCAAACAGACTAACAGGGTATCTGACCTCCTGCCGGTCAGTGCCCTGGTTAGTCCAGCAACCCACCCATAAAACACAATTAGTAGTACAGCCCACCCACAATAAATGGTTACTACACCTGAGTACGGGGAAAACTTGTCCATGTCCAGGTGCCTCACCACAGCTGTGTGGGGGACTGGTATGCTGAATTTCAGGGGGACGAAGCGTATCATGGTTGCGTGATCGGGAGCTGCAAACAGACAATCGTAGTACGTCAGCTATGACTGTGGCCCAGCTCTGGTGAGCTTTATTCGAAGTGGAGAGCCATATATGTGTCATGGTCACCCCTTTTCTAGCATTACATAAAGAATATATAATGCTAAACTAAAAAAACGTGAAATACAAAACAAAAAACGCAAAATTGGATCCACCTGGAGACGGGTGTATCTCTAAATACCAGAAATGTGCATGGTATGTATCCTGTAAAGAATAGAAGTCTTGCTGCCCAGATTAGCATACTGTATCAGATTTCACATTCCCTGATAGGGTTGGCCAGTAAGAATCTGCACCACGGTTCCCATGTGAGAATGTAATGTTGGTAGTAGTTTTTGGATACTGATACTTGCATGTTTCCTCCATAATTCTAATACTTTTGACTTTCTGAATCCAATCTCTAATGGATGGAGAGTTAGCTTGTGTTGGAGCAGGGATGCCTTGGTCTTAGGCAGGTTTGTCGGGAGAAGGTGGAAAATTAACATTCTAGGTTTGAGCGGGATCGTCACCTCCAAATTGGTATGGATAAATCCGGCTAGGCGAGACCAGAAAGTGTGCATTATGACCACCATATATGTGCTGAGTTGCCACTGGGTTGGTGGCATCTCCAACATTGGTTGGAAGAGAGAGAGAATAGTGTCTGTAGTTTGGCAGGTGTGTTGTGCCATCTGACTGTCTTGTAGTTGGCCTCCTGCACAGCAAGGTTCAGAGATGATTTATGGATAAGCCCAAATGTTTTTTTCCAGCTCTATATGGTAGGGAAAAGAAGAATTCCCTTTCTGGTTGTGGCTGGGTGTTTTGTAGGAGGGAGAACATGGAAGATATCTGTTTTTGCTTAATGGAGTGTAAGGAGCAGCTGTGTTCAAAATTTGTAAGTGCGCAAGTTCCCTTCTGCATTTTGTATAAAATGGAGAAGTTGATTATATTGGGCAGCTGTTTATGTTAATTGCTGGATATGTGAACAGAAGATTATTTGGTGTTAAAGGGACAAGAAGATGTTTTGGTGATATCCTTGTGATATCCTTGTTGCACTTCAAAAATAAAGAATTACAAAATATTATAAGGAATACATGGCTCTATCAGAGGCATAATATCAGAGGTAATAAAAACATTATATAATTAACACTCTTTAATGCCCACAGTCTAAACCAACATTTTAAGTATTCCTGCTAAACCCTTTGTAGACTCAAGCTTACATGTTCTGCCGTATGGGGACAAACACAGCCTGTGGGTCTCTGTGACAAAAATAAGATCACAATGTGTGGATACAGTCTATAATGAATGTGGCTCATCTTCCTGTCCACCCGCACCTCCCACGCCTCCCCACTTTGACAGTCCCTAGATTGGCTTCCCGTAAGATACAGGGCTCAATTTAAGATCCTGATACTTGCTTATAAATCTCTACACAATGCTGCTCTGACCTACTTATCCTCACTAACACAAAAATATGTCCCGTCTAGGCCCCTACGCTCTGCCGGAGACCTACGTCTAACCTCTGTTCATACTCCTACCTCTTATGCTCACCTTAAAGACTTCTCTAGGGCTGCACTGATCCTATGGAATGCCCTACCCTCTCTGTGAGACTTTCAGCCAGTCTCCACTCTTTAAAAAAAAAAGTACTTCTTTAAAAAAGCGTATCAATTAAACTGTGAACAGTTTTCCCTCCCCGCACCCTGATTCCTCTCCTGAAACTGTCATCAAAACAAAACACTAACCCCTCAGTGAATACTATTCTAGCAACCTTCTTTTCTACTCTACATCTACCCTTTGTGTCACTATACCCTCTAACATGTAAGCTCACTGAGCAGGCCCTCAATCCCTCTCTTACTGTGTCACTATACCCCACTCCCTCTAACATGTAAGCTCACTGAGCAGGGCCCTCAATCCCTCTGTTACTGTGACACTATACCCCACTCCCTCTAGCATGTAAACTCACTGAGCAGGGCCCTCAATCCCTCTCTTACTGTGTCACTATACCCCACTCCCTCTAACATGTAAACACACTGAGCAGGCCCTCAATCCCTCTGTTACTGTGTCGCTATACCACATGTCCTCTAGCATGTAAACTCACTGAGCAGGGCCCTCAATCCCTCTGTT